TATAGCGACTCTGGCCGCTCATAACAAGTCCTGGCTGTGGTTAGGTCATAGAAAGAAGAAGCAGGCAGTTCATTCACTTCGATATCAAGGTTCGTCGTCATGCCATATAGGTGGACAAACTTTTTTTTTTTGTTTTCTGGATGGACCATCTTTTCTGTTTGCAAACAAACACCGTTATCTCTTTTGTTCTCACTTTTTTTTTTGTTTCTCTTTTTTAATTTTTTTGTGTGTTTGTGTTCGTGTTTTGTTTGTGTTTTTTTTTTGTTTGTTTTTTGTTTTTTGTCTGTTTTTTCTTTTTTTTCCGAACAGGTTAGCAGGTGCATATTCAAAAACGTGCGAGGACTGGCATCATAGAGCACAATGCCGGATGCATGCTTGATTTGCAAGCAATGTTGTGCATGAAGTACACTGAGGGCCTCGTTATAGACCCTCGTTGGAAATCCGATTTTTAGGAAGTCGGCGTCGTTACACCGTGTCCTAATTCACGAAATTCCTTGAGTCAATGTGAAAATGCTGCCGAGAGATTTCCTGGTTCCTCGGAATCCCCAGCCAAAACGTCCTTGGATACAAGGGGTCCTCACGAGGTACCTTGGGTTAAAGGAGCCGAAATTGACGGAGTGTTCTGGGGCAAGCGCCGACAGGAGAATTTGGAGTTGATGTTGGTGCACAGGTCGTCCGTGGTGCATTGGGCGGACATCGCCGGCCTCCAGTGTACCCGATGGACCCCCAACGACCTTCCACCATTACCGTTGGCACGGAAATGGGTGGGGGTGGTTCTTCAGCTGCAAGGCGCTTCACGAAGCGGGGTTTTCCATGCGCTCGTCGCCGGCCGTTAGTGTCCCATGGTTAAAAAAAATTATTTTTTTACAGGCGATGTCGAAGCACTGCCGACAGATTGCGGTCATCTGCCTGGCGTGTTTTGTCGGCTATTGTCAGGTGCATTGATGCAAGCTTTGCTTGGTTCACTCCTCGCCCGCTGCGATTCACAGCAGACGTCCTCTGGCGGTTCCCGCTCCTGCTGCTGGCCACTCTTCTCCTGCTCCTTGTTGTGTTGTTCCACATGTGCGTCATTGTGCGGGGTCCTGGCAGCAGATGGAAACAATGAGCGGTGAGGAAGACGACGATGGACAGATGAGGAAGAGGACGATGGACAGATGAGGTCAACCTTTCTTTTTTTCTCATTTTTCCTTTTTTTTTTTAACACCCGGGGTGGTGCTGGGGGTGCTGGTAAGAGCAGAAACCACCAGCCCTCCCAGGGAGGCTCCATCTATTGGTGGGGAGCGGCACCTGCTGGAAATCGGGTCCAGTGTCCCTGAACATTATAATGGTTTTCAAAACAGTATACTCCTGCCAGCATTGATTGCCCGGGACACCGGGGATTAACTGTACAGGTAAGCGTCCCATGCTAAGATCTGGGTCAGATGAGCTCAACCTGCCGGAGATCCTCCCATGTCCCTCCCGTCCTTCTCCTCATCCACTATCTCGGCATCGCCCGCGGGATCACACCCAATGCCATGGTGCAACAAAATTGCACAATGATGCATGGGTCCTGGGGACCATCTCACGCAAGTGTGTATATGTCATGCATCATACTCGCACACAATGACCAGTAGTCTCACACGATAGACAAAGGTAGATGAGAAGAAAACTGAGTTTCACAGCTTATATTATCAAAGATATGATTACAAAGAGTTCCATAGTTCCCTGAGTCCAGCGCTCATCAGCGCAATGCCAATCCAACATCAACTCATTAACATGACTCCCAATACATCAGCGCTACTTCCGCAGATTGTCTCCAAGTCATCAATGTGGTCACTATTCATCAGCGCCACCTCTACAGTTCACAGCCAACTCAGGTAAGTATCTTCCATAGCCAAGCCTTGAATGAACACTCTCTACCTCGGTCCCTTCCTCCTACGATGCATACACACTCTTTACATGTGAGGATCTACTCTGAATGCTACTCATAGTTGTCTACCACTAACCCTCTAAGTCTATACTAACTCGCTGGGCAGCTATGGCTGCATCCTTTCCCAGCGCAGTCTTCTTCCTTCTCCCAGTGCATCTTCATCCTCTATCGTTGTTCCTCCTGACTGGCGCATAAGTGTTCCAGCACTTCCACGCACAGAATGCCAGTGGAGATCTAGCGAGGAATGAGGCTGGCTGCTTTCTTTATAGTGCTGGCCTCTCCTTGCTGGGTCTGCATTGGCTGCTTCAGGCCTTCTTTTGTCCCAGACCCTGCATTGCATGTGTCCCAGTACAGTCCCAATGAAGTTCAATTGCTGTTGAGGCCTTTCGGCCTAGATTTGGACTTGAAAGTCTGGATCTGGACTGCCCCCTTGACTTAGACCAGAACTGGGACTTTACCTATTGACNCCCCCTTGACTTAGACCAGAACTGGGACTTTACCTATTGACTTACTTTCGGACAGGCACATCTTTAGACGAACAGACACACTCACTGCCTGAACAGACACTCCCAAGGTGTGAATAGACACTCTTCTTTGCACAAACAGGTGCACTGACTGCACGTACAGACACACCCTATTCCGAATAGACATGACATGCACATCTCCTGGTGAACAGGTAAGTCTTTTGACAATGTCCTTTGCTTTAAATTTGGATGTGCCCGTTGATAGAGAACTTGACCTTTGATCTGCTTTCATGTTTCTAAGCCCTGGCGAGATACCCTTTCACGCTGCTTTACTTTTACAAGGCCTGAGGCCTGCATCGGGTAAAGACCCTTTTACTCTCGCCGGTCTAGTTTCGAAGTCCTCTGAGAATCATTTACCTATTAAGGATGTGAATCCCTCTTTTCGCGCTTTCATATGCAAACACAATATGAAGTGCAGAGTCCAATAGCTCTTCTCGTGTGAACCAGCGATCTTCACTAGGATCCTGGTATGCAAACCTCATGTTATATTGTCGTTGTGGTCTGCCTCTATGTCTAGTATGGTAAGTACTTTCTGCAACAATTTTATCCACGTCATACTTCCCATCCATACTTGGACGTATCGCTGATCGACGATTTGGAAAGAGCTCATTTGTTACACAAGGTAAGAACTTGGACGCATGGAACACTGGATATGTACGTACATGTAGAGGAATCTCAATGAC